ATTTGTTTGAGTTGTAGGGTTAATGTTTTGATTTTAGCCCTTTCTTCTTTTTGGATGTGTGCATTTATTGCTATAAATTGACCTCAGAGGACTGCTTTTGCTGTGTCCCAAAGGTTCTGGTAAGATGTGTTTTCATTCTCATTTGATTCTATGAATTTCTTTATTCTGTCCTTGATTTCTTCTGTAACCCAGTAGTTTTTAAGCAAGGTGTTGTTCAGTTTCCATGTATTTGATTTTTTTCCTTGGTGTTTGTGTTACTGATTTCTACTTTTATGGCTTTATGGTCAGAAAAGATGCTTTCTAATATTTCGATGTTTTGGATTCTGTTAAGGCTTGCTTTGTGGCCTAAAATGTAGTCTCTTCTGGAGAATGTTCCATATGCATTGGAAAAGAATGTATACTTGGCTGCTGTCGGGTGGAGTGTTCTGTATATGTCTATGAGGTTAAGTTGATGGACTATGGCATTTAGAGCTTCCGAGTCTTTATTGACTTTCTTTCTAGATGTTCTGTCACTGGGTGCATATATATTTATTAGGATTATGTCCTCCTGGTGTATTGACCCTTTAATCATTATACAGTGTCCTCCTTATCCTCTGTGGTGGATTTTGCTTTAAAGTCTATTTTGTCAGAGATTAATATTGCCACTCTTGCTCTTTTTTGGTTGTTGTTTGCTTGATATATTCTTTTCCATCCTTTGAGTTTTAGTTTGTGTCTTTGAGTCTAAGGTGTGTCTCTTGTAGGCAGCATATAGATGGATTGTGGTGTTTTTTTTTTAATCCATTCTGCCACTCTTTGTCTCTTTATTGGTGCATATAGTCCATTTACATTCAGTGTAATTAATGATAGGTATGAGTTCACTGCTGTCATTTTGATTTTGTTGCTGTTGACAGTTTCTTTGCTGCTCTTAATTTTCTGTGCTGAGTCATTTTTCTTTGTGTATTTTTTTTCATTTTTGTTGACTTTGTGTTTGCTGAGTCTTTATGCTTTTCTTCTTTATTTTGATGGGTAGATTTGTTAGCTTTCTTTGTGGTTACCTTAAAGTTTACCTTTGTTTTTCTAAGTTTAAACCGATTTTTTATTTCCTACCCATACGGAAGTTCTATGACTATACTATTTATTCCCACTTTTTTAATAAACGTTTGTTTAATAAAACGTTGTCATCGTTTACATATTGACGTCTGTTTCCCTACTTTCAGTGTTTTAGCTTTGACTTGTTTTTACAACTTCCCTATCTGGTTGATAACTGGTTGTTCTGTCCTGTGTTCTAGTCTTGGTTGTTGTCTGATATTATTGGTTCTCTAACCAGAGAACTTCTTTTAATATTTCTTCTAATTTTTGTTTGGTTCTTACAAATTCCCTTAACTTTTATTTATCTGGAAATACCCTAATTTTGCCATCGTATTTGAGAGAGTTTCACTGAAGATATAATTCTTGGCTGGCAATTTTTGTTCTTCAAGACTTTATATATGTCATCCCATTGCCTTCTTGCCTGCATGTTTTCTGCTGAGTAGTCAGAACTTAGTCTTACTGGTTCTCCTTTGTAGGTGACTTTTTGTTTATTCCTAGATGCTCTTAAAATTCTCTTTATCTTTGGTTTTGGCAAGTCAGACTGTATGTCTTGGTGACTTTCTTTTGGGATCTATCCCGTGTGGTGTTCATTGAGCTTCTTGGATAGATACCTTCTCATCTTTCGTGATATCACGGAAGTTTTCTAAAAGCAAATCTTCAACAATTCTCTCTGTGTTTTCTGTTATCCCCTCCTGTTCTGGTACCTCAATCACTCATAGGTTTTTCCTCTTGATAGTGTCCACATAATTCATAGGCTTTCTTCACTTTTTTAAATTCTTTTATCTGATTTTTTCAAATAAATTGGTGTCAAGGGATTTATCTTCAATCTCATTAATTCTAACTTCCATTGCCTCAATTCTGCTCCTATGACCCTCTATTGAGTTGTCTTTCTGAAATTTTATTGTTAATCTTTTGGATTTCTAGTTGCTGTCTATTGTTTCTAGCAGACTGTTAAATATGTCATTCTGTTCTTGCATTGGTTTCCTAAATTCTTCTATTGCTTTGTCTGTGTGTTCCTTGGCTTGGCCTGAGTTTTGCCTGATCTCCTTCTTGATCTCTTGGAGAGCTCTGTATATTAATCATTTGAATTCTATCTCAGGTATTTCCATGAACTTATCTTCCTCTGGAAGATTTCCTGGTTCTTTACTTTGGTCGCTTGCTGGAACCATCCTGACCTGCTTCTTTATGTGATTTGATATTGACTGCTGTCTCTGAGTTATCAATAAGTTATTATATTTATTTATTGTATCTTTGTTTACTATGTCCTAGCTTTTTGTTTTGTTTTGTTTTGACATGCCCAAGTAGGCTGGGAGTGTGAGCTACTTTCATTATTGGTGTCTTTGAAGCTCTCATGTCCTGTCTCCAGGTGGTTAGAGCAGCTATCAAGTGTGTGAGTCCAGGAGTCTGTTCACTTTTCTTGTGTGGGTGTGGCACAGGTGTCCAGGTTGTTGGTCACCGAGTGTGTGGCACAGACTCTCACCTACATTCCTAGACGGGCAGGGCTGTGTAGGGGTGTTCAGAGCAGGCACAGGTATCTGGCTGCAGTAGGGGGCTATGTGTGGTACAAGGCAGGGGGCTGATGGCTGCTCCCAGATGCCTGGATGGAGGGCATGTCCTTGTCCCCTTCAGCACATAGAGGGGTGGGTATTGCAGCCGGTCCTTGGACACCTGATGCTGTTGGCTGGAAGGACTGGGAGGCACCAGGAGGCACCACTTATTCTAAGACACCTGTCGTGGGTGGCAACATGGAGTGGGTGGTACCGCCAGTCCTCAGGCCCCTGATGTGGGTGGGTGAGGGCCCTGCTTAATGGGCAGGGCAGGGTCAAATATCATGAATCTGCAACTCCCCCTTGGCTGCTGCAGTTGAAAATAGGCTGCAGGTGTATGCCCTGTTTTATGCTAATGAAGCTATGTGGTGTTGAATCGGCCCACACAGGTCTAGGCAGAGGTAAAGTCTGTGGAACCCTTATGCCACTGCCTAGGCAAAGGGGTAGGGCCTCCTGACACGCCCTGAGTTCCCAGCTTAGGGAGCGTGGTGTTTTTAAAAGCTGAGAGATTGGTTTCGGCACAGATAATCCCGAGTTCCGGCTTAGGAGGCTTGGCAGTTGTTGAATACTGCCGGACTGGTGTCGGAATGGAACGGGTTGCAGGGGTTGGTGAGGGGAAAGAGGCATTTCTCCGCATGAAACTCTCAGAGGGGGAGGGGTTATTTTGTCCCTATGCAGTAGGTTAGACGCTTGCACTTAACTTTCACAAATCCAGGACCACTTCCACTCAGCTCTGGAGGCTTGTGCAGACTCACCGCCACCCGGCCTCATCTGACATGGTGAGACGCACCCCAAATGCTACTACTCGCCTCAGGCTGTACGCACCCGATGACCCAGCCAGCAGCGTGCTGGAAACCTTGCAACTGGCACTTCTTCACTGCTTTCAAATTGTCCTTTCCCCACCACTCAGTCTGACTATTCAGCTTTGTCTTTGATCATCAAGGCTCCTAGATTGTCATATATAATCGATTCACTTGTTTTTTCGGGTCTTGGTTGTAAGAGGAATGACAGGAAGCATCTGACTATTCTGCCATCTTGGCCCCACCTCCACCTGATACTAATTTTAACCAAATTTATTCTTACATTTGATAGTGATTATATTAAATTGCAGTATATCAAATTATTACACTTTAGAAATAAGACTGATTGGGTGAAGAATAAGACAGTACACATTACTGGGGAAGTCAGCACAACTTGACCAGGACAAAGTCATAGAAGCTTCACAGACACATACAAACTCCCTGAGAGACCAAGCTACAGGGCTGAGGCCTGGTGATCATGGTCTCAAGGGACATCTAGCTCAATTGGCATAACATAGTCTACAAAGAAAATGTTCTACATCCAACTGTGGTGAGTAACATCTAGGGTCTTAAAAGCCTATGAGTGGCTATCTAAGATACATCTACGGATCCCACCCCAGCTGCAGCAAAGGAGAATGAAAAAGACCAAAGATACAGGGAAAGATTAGTCCAAAGGACTAACAGACCACTACTACCACAACCTCCACCAGACTGAGCCCAGAACAACTAGATGGTGCCCAGTTACCAGCACCAACTGCTCTGGCAGGGATCACAATAGAGGGTCCTGGACAGAGCTGGAGAAAATTGTAGAACAAAATTCAAATTCACAAAAAAAATTAAAAAAAAAAAAGACCAGACTTGCTGGTCTGACAGAGACTGGGGAAACCCCAAGAGTATGGCCCCTGGACACCTTTTTAACTCAGTACTGAAGTCACTCCTGAGGTTCGCCCTTCAACCAAAGATTAGATAGGTCTATAGAGCCAACAATAACACACATGAGGGATGTGCTTCATAGTTCAATCATGTATGCAAGTTTAATGGGCACACCAGCCCAAAAGCAAAGACGAGAAGGCAGGAAGGGACAGGACAACTGTATGAATGGAAACAGGGAACCTGGGGTGGAGAAGTGGAGAGTGTTGACACATCGCGCGGTTGGCAACCAATGTCACAAAACAATTTGTGCATTAACTGCTTAATGAGAAACTAATTTGCTATGTAAACTTTTGCCTAAATCACAATAAAAATTAAAAAAAAAAAGAAATAGGAGAATGATAAAAGTACTCCAAATATGGTATTTATAACATAAATTAACCCATTGCCATCAAGTCAATACCGACTCATGGCAACCTCATGTGTTACAGAGTAGAACTGTCTTATAGGGTTTTCTTGACTGTAATCTTTATGGAAGCAGCTCACCAGGCCTTTCTTCCAAACAATCACTAGGTGGGTTCAAACTGCCAACCTTTAGGTTAGCAGCCGATGGCAAACTTCTTGTGCTGCCCAGGCTCCTCATAACATAGGATTAAATTTTATAGGTTAGCATATGTAAGCTGGTTTGCAAACCGTCATCACTGTCCCTTCTTACCTGCATGTATCAGACTGACTGTGTTCATAAAGTTTCCTTTCCAAGTCCAATCTCTTCTTTTCACTATATACAGAAAGAAAAATTTTACAAATAATTATATATTCATAAGTTATAGGCAGTCAAATTTAGAACACGATTTTTCAAAATCATGCCTTTGTGGAAGTGCTTCTCTGGTCTCTCCAAGCAGCATAAAATGCCAGCTGTGTTTGAAACTCAAGATACAGAAATACCTGACAGTCACCAGGAAAGTCTAGGAAGGAAAAAAGACACTGATACGATGCAAAAAGAAAAACACTCTCAAAGTAAATGGGGAAATACAGTAGGAGAAGGTCAGGAAGCAAGGTCATTCATTCAGCAAATATCTCTCCAGAGCCTACGGCGAGCCAGGTACCGTTCAAGGTCAGAAGATACAGTGGCGAACAAGTCAGCCAAGGCTCCTGTCCTAGGGCACCTGCCATTGGGGTGAGGGAAGGAAGACATACAATAAATAAATGTAAAATGTATACTTAACTGTAAAATATAATATGGCCAGACTTCTCAGACACAGTGACATTTGAGTGATGAGGGTTCCACCACATCTGAAGGCAATGCTCCCACAAATCTACCCTGGATCAAAGACTGGTAGCTTGCTCTGCTCCCAACCAGATAAGCCCTGGCAGAGCCAGGTGGCTAAGTTAGGAAGCTACCTCTGAAAGCAAACCTGGTCTCACATTTAATAAAGACAGGGTTCCCTAACACTATAACTTTGAACCTGGGGGAATTTCTTTTTATAACTTTGTAACGTTGCCATTATTTGCTGTTTCCCAGAAGGTACTACCAGTAAAGATTTCACTGCCTGTGATGTTCAAGTGAGGGCTGGCAGTAAACTAGAGGAGAGAGTCTGTTTTACCCCATACCCCACCTAAGCAAGAGGTCAGACAACCCCGTCAGTAAAGGAGGTGGCAGCAGCCACAACCAGGACGGGTAGGGGAGTAAAAGGGCTGCACAGGAAGCCATCGCAGTCCCAGAAAGGGTCCTCGGGAGACTAAACCCCAACAGGCTCTGTTCAACCACCACCAAAGTACCAGCCTCAACCTCACTATGTGAGCTAAACCCTACACCCAACCAAAAACCACTGATGCCGAGTCGACTCCGACTCACAGCAACCCCAGAGTTTCCAAGGCTGTAAATCTCTGTGGAAGCTGACTGCCACATCTTTCTCCTGAGGAGCCACCGGTGGTTCTGAACTGCCGACTTTTCAGTTAGCAGTTGATTGCTTTAACTACTGTGCCAGCAGGGCTCTTTAAATCCTTCCCCCCTGTTTTAAATTTCAGACTTAAAATTAGATATTTATCCCAACAAAAAGCCACAGAAAGGCTTATTGGGAAGACCACCTTGAAATTCCTATACAAAAAATATTTCAGAGTCTTTGAAACCCCCAGCCCTGGGATATCTACCCATGTGCCATGGTTTCAGTCACCTACACCCCTCACCTGGACCTTTTGGGGCTTCACACTGGGGTGGGGGGTGCTGTCCAAAACCTACCTGGGTTAGTTTTCTCTTTTAAGTCACTTGTCATTCTATTTTTATCTCAATATTACAACTCTCCACTATCTTCAGCTTTACTCAACTAATATCTTAGCATCAATTATTTCTGGACTATTACGATATCTCTCCCTGAATCAGTGTTAGCATTGAAAAACCTGAGGCTGGTTAATGGGCCGTTTAAAGGGATGGTTTTATATAATTTTAAGAATCAATTCCACTTACATGTTTCTACCATGCTTGTGGCATTATACACACTGTAACAAGTCACTGCATTAGGCTCTTTTAGAATGAATTTATAGACTTTCAAGACAAGGCAGGGAAAACACAGTATATAAAAAGAAAAAAATTAGAATACAAAATTACACTATCTGAGATTACAGCTAAAGCATCTGAACTAGAAATATTCCAGTTACAAAGGGAAGGCCCTGGTCACTGCACCAGCTAACACTGCAATGAGCCACCTCTAAAAGGGCCAATAAAAGGTAAGCTGTTTTCCATGCCCCAAACCTAACCCATTGCCATGGAGTCAATTCCGGCTCATAGGGATCCTACAGGACAGAGTAGAAGTGCCCCACAGGGTTTGCAAGGAGCGGCTGGTGGATTCGAACTGCCAACGTTTTGGTGAGCAGCCGAGCTCTTAACCACTGCACCACCAGCCTGGAAATTTCTGGATTGAGAAAGCAGCTGTGATTACCCAGCGCTGCAGTTTTTGAATGACTCTGGAATTTCAGGAGATAATGGTCCCTGTGTGAACAGCCCTGGTGGTGCAATGGTTAAGCACTCACCTGCTAACCAAAAGGTCGGCAGTTTGAACCCACTAGCTCCTCCATAGGAAGAAGATGTGGCAGTCTGCTTCCATAAAGATTTATAGCCTTGGTAACCCTACGGGGCAGTTCTATTCTGTCCTGTAGGGTAGCTATGAGTCAGAACAGACTCAATGGCAAACGGTTTTTAACAGGTAATCCCTGAGGCTGGTTAAAAAAAAAGTACGTGTAAACACTAAACTACAATACATACAGTGATGTTCTCTTTTTTTGCTTTTCAAACCTGCAGCTTTCAATTTTTTTTTTTTACACTGAGTCCCGTTACTCTAGAAGAGAAAATCTGTGTGACCTTACTTTACATATTAGTCAAGCCCCCTCATGTATGAAGAACTAAGGTTCAAGGAGGCCAAACAACTTGCTCACAGTCACACAACATTTCATGGGCTAGAACGCAGGTTTCCACGTTTCTACTGCAGCCTTCTCTGTATCTAAAGTGATTCGCCTCTATGCTTGTTAACTGCATGCAGACGAGTTAGTTATGAATTCTTAAAATGAAAAATGAATACACACAGCTACAGATTTATACTGACTTAAAAATAAAACCTCCAAATGCAGAGCCATAAATAGGCTATACTTTGACTCAAATTCCTTAAATAAATCTTATCAGCCTCACCTTGCTTAATAGTGAAAGCAGTAAGCGTTAAACATAAAGTGAGTAATAATCATTACATAATTATACCATAATGACTATAAACAGCCAGGTGTTCCTAGCACAAGAAACAAAAATGATAACTCGCAGTTAACCTAGTTGAAAAAGAATGACATTTAAACCAGTAACATTTTAAAATTAAGACTTGGGCTAAACTATAGAAATAACTAAAGACCTGGGGTGGTGGTTCTTCTAACAGAAGAGACACTGAGCCAGAAAGCACTTTAAGTGTACTGAAGCACACAGCAACGTCTTATCTTTTAATTATCAGGTACGTGCAGAAAATTAATATCGTCTCGGAAATATCACACTATCCACTTTTCCTGGTTGGCTGGAAAATGGTCATTACTTACTGGCAATGTCTGCCTATTGGGTTCCACAAGACATTCATAACTCTTAGAAACTAGCTGGCTTTAGGATTTCTTTTATACATTCAACATTTATCAAGTACCTCCTTCCTCAGGTACTCTATTCTGACCTAAAGACCCAACTAGATATGGTTCCTGTCCTCTCTGAATTCTCAATCTGGGCAGAGAGCAAGTCACTTAAGCGGTCACTAAAACTAGGGTGCTATAAGAATACTGAAGTCTCATCCGTTAGGGGCTGGGGGTGATCAACACCTGGGGCAGGGAAGACTCTGAAGGAATGATTTTTTACAAGCTGGAGATGAGGAGACCACTGGGGAGGGCAAGAGGTGACATGTCAGAGAGAAAACAGCATGTCAGAAGGGATTAAGGAGTAAAATATGGCGAGGACAACTGAGGAGGCCTGTTGTAGATGCTCTATAAATATTTGACAAAAATAAATCTAGCATAAAATGAATATAATTCCTTTTAAGAACCACTTACTTCTGCCTTTACTTTACATGTAATTATCAACATTTTAGAAATGTCACACATAGCTCTACTGTACACCAGAATGACTATTCTGTAACTTTTAACACTCATTGTTTTGTTTATCAAAAGATCCAAAAATCTATCGTCTTCCCTGCCAACTAATGAGATCTCCAATTCCAATTAACTTCGCAGCTAAATAAGAGTTTCAACAACTTATCTTTTAAGTGGTTATTTAGAGTAAACTACTTTATAATTTTCTTCCTTTATGGATTCTTAGATCTAGCTGTTTTCGGCGATTCCCGTCTTTAATGTCGTAATCAAAGGCATCATAAATCCTCTGGAAGTTAGACTTTTCCCACTGGACATTTCATCCCTTCCCTGAAAACCTGGCCATTCCCCCACTCCCCATATATGCCTCCTGCATTTAAAAAGAGCATATGTTTGTGAAAACACACAGCGTCTCCCACCTGCATTCCTGGACCTGTCATCACTGATGCAGTGCAGCTGTCAACTGGGATGACAATTTGAAGAGACTGGGGGAGGGGGGCGTGTAAAGGGGACTAGAGAAATTCACAAGGTTTCACTGCGAGTGACAGGCAGGAGAACTCCCGCTCTCAATTCAGTGACGCGGCCACAACCTCAAGCGGGAGGAGGGCTCCAGTGGTTGCTGCTGGGTGTCTCATCTCCCTCCGCCGCCCCCTCCAATACAGGGGGCGTCTCTGCCGGAGAGGAAGCACGGGTGGGGCGAATGGGAAGGAACAGGGCAGAAAACCCTCAGCGCCGGCCGAGTCCCGCCTCCGCCCCCGGTTGGCCGTACCTGTCCCGCAGCCCATGCTGGAGGCGGCCCAGCCTCTCGTAGTAGTCGGGGCTCGCCAGGGGCGCGGACGACGCGGAGGCCCGGTGCATGCTACCGCTGCCGCGCTCACTCTGCGCGCGACCTACGGCGGCCAGGGGACCCGGGTTGACCCAGGCGACGGCCCCACCATGCACCGCGGGTAAACACGGCGCCCGGCCGCCGTGCAGGGGGCGGGGCGGCGGCTGTGGTCGTTAACGGGGCGGGGCGCCGAAGAAGAGCGGGGCGGGCGTCATGCAGGAGGCGGGGCAGCGCGGGGCCTCGTGGATGGGTGGAGCTGGCCGCCTCTCACGCGGCGGGCTGAGGATCCGTGGAGGGTTCGGAGCCCCGAGTTCCCGGACGCAGAGCCTGGGGTCTCCCTCCTCTCACCGTTCACAGTTCGCAGGGAGACCGCACTCCTTCCCCGGGAGGGGGAGCACTCCTTTGAGGCTAAGCCTGACTTGACGGGCTTCCATTATAAACCAGCTCCTGATTCTCGCTGGGTAGAGGATGGGGGCTGGGCGGGAACTATTCTCCATTTTTGTCTTTGGCTTCCAACTATGTTAATTTTGGAAGGTGCATTCTCTTCCGCCTTTCTTCCCTCCCTTCTTCCGAGGATTTACTGAGTTTCAGGCACTGTGCTATGCTTGTTTTTCTACCAGCACTGAAAAACAAAACAAAACTCCACAAAAAAAGACAAAACCCAAAATACTAAATTTACTGTGTTCAGCCCTGCCTGCGGAATCTTACTTGAAAATCCGTGCTGACCCTAAGGATGAAGAGCTACAAAGAAGGTCCCCCAGAGTCCGTTAGAGCTGCAGGTGACATTACGGATGGTGGAGAGTGAAAAGTTGCTAACTAGTTACTTCTGAAGCAGACATCTGTTCGTGCAGACATAGCTCAGATCGACGACGTTCTAAACGTCCTGTAGAGGTGTAGTGTGGGTACTTGGAGACCAGACTACCCAGGCTCAAATCCCTTCTTCCACTGATCAGCTGTGTGACCTGGTACAAGTCACTAACCCTCCTGAAGCCCAGGTCTCCTCATGTGTAAAATGGAGAGGCTATTACTGCAGTGTTACTTAAGTGGTAGAATTCTTGTTTTTTTATGCAGGAGACCCAGGTTCCATTTCTGGCTGTTATGGATTGAATTGTGTCTCCCCAAAATGTGTATCAGCTTGGCTAGGCCATGATTCCCAGTATTGTGATTGTCTACCATTTTGTCATCTGATGTGATTTTCCTTGTGTTGTAAATCCTATATCTATGTTGTTAATGAGGCAAGATTAGAGGCACTTATGTTAATGAGGCAGGATTCGATTTACAAGATTAGATTGTGTTTTGAGTCCATCTCTTTTGAGATATAAAAGAGAACCGAGCAGAGAGACATGAAGGCTCTGGTTATTTATCTGCCCAAATACTAAAAGTTATAAACTGTAAGTAAACTGCGTTCTCTCTGCTACTTTAACCAATACGCCTTCATAATAACCTAGAAAACCAGGTTGGAATTTAGTTTTCTGACTCCTTCCCCAGCCACACCCTTCTTCCCTCACCCCAGGCTCACTGTGAGGGGCTTCCCTCCCTCACCCAGCCACAAGTCCCAGCTCTGTCCATAGCCCCAACTCAGCCTCCTCTTAGCCACTCTTCAGGTCTATGGCAAAGGTTACCCTTGGGAGGAAGGACCTGGGAAAGAGGTCTCTGAAGGTCTTGGAAAGACTTGGGCCCATTTGAGCAGGGAATGTCAGAGTGTTGGGAATGTGTTCTAGAAGGGGGGTGTGTGAGCCTGGCCCTGGGGTCTCCTTGGTCTGTGTGGAGAGGTATGGCCATATGCTATATCAAATCATTATACCAAATTGATTCAGTGATAGCGTACAAAGGTTTATTTTATTGATTTTAGTTCAACTAACATTTTACTACAACCCTGGCAAAAATGCGTTACATTTTTAGAATATTTTATTTAGGTATTACCCCCATCCAGATGAATTTGTTAAGGGAAAAGAAAAATCCCCCAATTAATGTAAATAATTATTGTCAGCAAATAGCCCAGAGTAAACAGATGAGGCAATCATTTAGCATCCCAAATTTTATTAGGCCCTGTAGGCAAGCCTAAAATTAAATATAATTAAACAGCAAATAGATAATTCAAAATAATTATAGTTTGCATTCTATAGTTGATTCATTAATGACATATGACAAATCTAGATACAGAGTCCCCTTTATTAGTAATAACATAGCAAACTAAATGAGTATTTCCAGGGTATTTATGCTAAAATTATGCATTTTAAATGGTGATACTTAATTCAGAATTCTTCAGTTAGAATATTTAATTTACTGGACTATTCTTCTCTTAATATTTTCCTTAAATCCCTTTATATTAGCAGAACTTTTCTATAAGCAGCTCTGCTTTTAGCTATACCCGGACCATGAGTCATCGAAAGTCTGCTTAGATGGTCAAAGCTTCCTGTATAAATCACATAATGTCTTAGCTGGAAATTAGAGGGAGTCTAGCCTCATTCCCTCATTTTACAGAGGAGAAGAAAGGTTCAGAGCAGACAAGAGACTTGGCCAAGTTCACAAAGCTGGTAACCTATGTAATATTAATGAATGTAATTCAAAATATGAGACCCTAAAAACCGAAAGAGTCCCTGGGTAACACAGTGTGCTCTCCTACTAACCAAAAGGTTGGCAGTTTGAGTCTACCCAGAGGTGCCTCGGAAGAAAGGCCTGGCGATCTACTTCTGAAAAATCAGCTATTGAAAACCCTATAGAACAGTTCTACTCTGACACACATGGGTCTCTATAAGTCAGAATAAATGCAGCAGCAACTGATTTTTTTCCTTGTTTTTAATAGCCCCATTAAACAAGTAACAAGGCAAGTCAGTGTTTCAGCCCAGCAGTCATATGTCTGTTAAGGTGAATCATATGAAATTTCTATTTCTGAAGCTCAGAAACAGTTAAATCAATGAATGGAAAACTGTTTTGGAAATAGGTTAAAGTTAGAATTTTACATTTTAAAATGCTAACACCTTTTTTAAAAAAATTAAATCCTGTATATTTGAGTCTATAATTGCTTGAATATAAACATGGGCAAGAATTTTATTTTACAACTACTATGCAGAAATATTAGACATTGCAACTGATGCTATTAGAAAATTTAGTTTGGAAGTAGACATGAAATCAATGCAGAAGGTAGGGGAAGGTCTGTGATGTCACCGGTAACTGTGCACCCTCCCACCATTGAGCATTTACACTACTGTAATCATTCATTGTCTCATTTAATCCCCACAACAGTCCTTTGAGGTAATTACAAATTTAAACAACCTGCCCCAGATCACACTGCATATGTGTGACATCACGCTTGGTAAAGAAGAGCGTTGGCGAAAAAGAGGATGACCCTCAACAAGATGGATTGACACAGTGGCTGCAACAATGGGCTTAAGCATAACGCTGATTGTGAGCATGTCGTAGGACCAGGCGGTGTTTTGTTCTGCGGTACATAGGGTCGCTGTGAGTTGGAAGCAACTCGACAACACCTAACAACAACAACATGTATTCTTGACAAGCTAGTGGCAGCACTAGGCCTAACACACAGGCCAGCTCTGATTCCAAAGTCCATTTTCTCTTAGCCTCTATTTGGCATCTAATGATATATATATATATATATATATATATATTTTATTTTTCTTGTATGAGATGTGTAAAATATATACTGTGAGACTCAGAAGGATTCTTAACATATACATGGTTCACTGTTTGGGAAATAGTATGCATTTACATAGAATGCATATTTCTACAAGCTGTGATACAACACTGTGTTTACCTTTCTGTTTTATTAATTTTCCTCCTTGGCTCTCGGAAAGACTACTTTCCCATCCTTTCTAACAGATAGGTGGAACTATACGACCAAGTTTTGGCCAATGAGATGTGAACAGAAGTGATGGAGCTGCTTATAGGCCCGCCCCTAAACATCCTGACCCTGTATCCTAGCCTTCACTAATTGGCCTGCTAGATGCAGAGGATCCAGTGGAGAACCCTGAGGCTCTGGAAGAAGAGTAAATGACTGCAAAGAACACGAGATTCTCACTTGAGCAAGAAATAAATCTGTGTTGTGTCTATTTTGGGGTTGTATGTTTCTGCAGCTGGCATTGCTTATCCTGACTAATGCACAAGCATTCCATGGAGAGATTATACAAATGCATCAAAAAATCTTTCCACAAAATTCTCAGTGAGGATTTATGTGACTATCTAGGTAGTAAAGGAGATGGCAAACCTAGAACTCTGCTATTAAGGGTCAACGCAGGAGGAGAGAGCCCTAGATAATGAAGACAAGACTGTAGTGAAGAACCACTTAGAACAGCTCTGTCCACTGGAACTATTTGCAATGCTGGAAATTTCTATTCTCCACTGTTCAGTACAACAGCCACTAGCCACATGTGGCTCTTGAGCAATTGAATATGGCAAGCACAATCAAGAAACTGCATTTTCAATTTCATTTAAATTAATTAAGATTTAAACTTAAGATGTCACAATTAGTGGCTACTGTGTTGGACAGTGCTGATATAGAGATAAAGAACTAAGAAGTAGAAAGTCAGGAACTAGAAGGTGGGCTGCTATCCTTGGTGAAAAGTGACCGTCACGAGGGTCAGTCCTGAGGTTACTAAGAATATTTTGCCCAAAAACATTGTAATAGCTAATTTAAAACAATAAGAATTGGGTGGTATGATGGTTAAGGTTGTGTTCCAACTTGGCTGAGCCATGATTCTCAGTGGTTTGGCAGTTATGTAGTTGCCCTCCATTTTGTAATATAGTGTAATCACCTCCATGATGTGATCTGATGTGATCAGCCAATCAGGTATAAAGGGAGTTTCCTCAGGGGTGTGGCCTGCATCTGATACATATGGGCATTCTGGCAAAGGTTGCGGGCTTTTGCTTGCTCTGGATCCTGCATCTGGCTCATCATCATCTGACCTCTGGTTCTTGAGAATTGAGCCAGCGGCCTGCCATATTGCCTGCCAATCTTGGGATTCATTGACGTCTACAGCCTGTGAGCCAGCAGCCTACCATCTGATCTGCTGATCTTGGGTTTGTCAGCCCCTGCAGCTACATGAGTTAGGAGAAGCCTCCAGC